GCGCGCAGACCCCTAGATGTAACATTTTACCATCGCAATAAACGACTGCGCACAGGTTTAACATGGATGTGACATTTTAAGTTCAATATCAACATCTGGGCACAGAATACGCCCTGTGTGTAAAGAGTTACGATTAACACAGACCCCTGACCGTAAGATACTAAGATAAGTAGCAACATCTGGCTACAGCCGGTCATGTAAGACACATTGATTAAAACCCATGGATGTAAGAAAGAAACAAGGAACAATATCAACATCCGGGCACAGCACCCTCGTGTAGGACACACTGTTAGAAACCCCTGAACGTAAGGAACAACGATCGATATCAGCATCTGGGCACATTCCTTCATATAAAACACACTGATATAAACCCCTTAATGTGAGACCCCTGAGTGTAAGAACCCTGAGTGTAAGAACCAGTAAATGTAAGACCCCTGAATGTAAGAACACTTGATTGAAAGACCCCTGACTGTAAGAACGCCTGAATGTAAGACACTGACTGTAAGAACCCCTGAATGTAAGACCCCTGATTGAAAGAACCCCTGAATGTAAGACCCCAGATTGTAAGAACCCCTGATTGTAGGACCCCTGAATGTAAGAAACCCTGAATGTAAGACCCCTGATTATAAGAACCCCTGAATGTAAGACCCCAGATTGTAAGAACCCCTGAATGTAGGACCCCTGATTGTAAGAACCCCTACATGTAAGACTCCTAAATGTAAGACCCCTGACAGTAGGAACCCCTTAGTGTAAGACCCTGGACTGTAAGAACCCCTGAATGTAAGACCCCTGATTGTAAGAACCCACGAATGTAAGACCCCTGAATGTAAGAACCCATAAAGGGAAGACCCCTGATTGTAAGAATCCCTGAATGTAAGACCTCTGGCTGGAAGAAACCCTGAATGTAAGAACCCCTGAATGTAAGACACCTGACGGTAAGAACCCCTGAATGTAGGAACCCCTGAATGTAAGAACCCCTGACTAAAAGGTCCCTGATTGTAAGACCTCTGACTGTAAGAACCCCTGAATGTAAGACCCCTGATTGAAAGAACCCCTGAATGTAAGAGCCCCTAAATGGAAGACTCCTGAATGTAAGAACCCCTGAATGTAAGACCTCTGACTGTAAGAAACCCTGAATGTAAGAACCCCTGAATGTAAGACCCCTGACTGTAAGAACACCTGAATGTAAGACCCCCTGACTGTAAGAACCCCTGAATGTGAGACCCCTGATTGTAAGAACCCCTGAATGTAAGACCCCCTGACTGTAAGACCCCTGAATGTAAGAAGTCATGAATGTAAGACCCCTGACAGTAAGAACTCCTGAATGTAAGACCCCCTGACTGTAAGAACCCCTGAATGTAAGATCTCTGATTGCAAGAGCCCCTGAATGTAAGACCCCTGAATGTAAGAACCCCTAAATGGAAGACTCCTGAATGTAAGAACCCCTGAATGTAAGACCCCTGATTGTAAGAACCCCTGAATGTAAGACCCCTGAATGTAAGAACCCCTAAATGGAAGATCCCTGAATGTAAGAACCCCTTAATGTAAGACCTCTGACTGTAAGAACTCGTGAATGTAAAAACCCGTGAATGTAAGACCCCTGAATGTAAGACCCCCGATTGTAAGCACCCCTGAATGTAAGACCCCTGACTGTAAAAACTCGTGAATGTAAGAACCCGTGAATGTAAGACCCCTGAATGTAAGAGCCCCTAAATGGAAGACTCCTGAATGTAAGAACCCCTGAATGTAAGACCTCTGACTGTAAAAACTCGTGGATGTAAAAACCCGTGAATGTAAGACCCCTGAATGTAAGACTGCCGATTGTAAGCACCCCTGAATGTAAGACCCCTGACTGTAAAAACTCGTGAATGTAAGAAAACGTGAATGTAAGACCCCTGAATGTAAGAACCCCTAAATGGAAGACTCCTGAATGTAAAGACCCCTGACTGTAAGAACTCCTGAATGTAAGACCCCCCGAATGTAAGAAGTCATGAATGTAAGACCCCTGACTGTAAGAACTCCTGAATGTAAGACCCACTGACTGTAAGAACCCCTGAATGTAAGATCCCTGATTGTAAGAGCCCCTGAATGTAAGACCTCTGAATGTAAGAACCCCTAAATGGAAGACTCCTGAATGTAAGAACCTGAATGTAAGACCCCTGATTGTAAGAACCCCTGAATGTAAGAACCCCTAAATAGAAACTTGAAAACCCTGAGATACACTTTGTGAACAATCACTATCACAAGTAACCCAGGCTCACTGTTTGTGTCACATACACATGGTTAAAGAGAGAGAAGAAGGGGCGAAGTTTAGGTCTGGAAATTTGCTTGAAAATGGAAATAAAAATCAATGAAACTTACCATGTGGCGATTTTCTGTTGTCCTCAATATGTGCACGAAGTCTCGCGAAAAATACTCTTCTTCACCTTTGCTTCATAGTACAGAGACAAGGTAGGAGGCTGACGGCAGCGTCAGGGACCCATCGACCCTCAATCCAGCAAATTTTTTTGACGAAAATCCAATCCAGTCGCCAAATAAACACGCCGAGCACGTGGAACTAGAATAACTTTAAACCGTGAATCCACTAAAGCGGCTCCAGCTTGACACGGGAAGCCAGCAGGCTCCGTAAAACTTGTCCGTTAACTCACGAGAGTGGCGGCCCGAAACCGTTGGCATCACAACTGGTCCAATTCAAACTGGCACTGAGCTCGGGGTACCTGGTGACGAGTATAATAAGTCCCCGTGGAGTGAGGGGAGTCCAGATTGCTCAAAGTTTACCTTTGAACTGTACAATGCTATGTTCCGTGGAGTGAGGAGAATCCTACATTGCTCAAAGGTAAACTTTGAGCAATCTCGAACTGGACCAGTTGTGATGCCAACGGTTGCGGGCCGCCATTCTAGTGGGTTAACGTACAAGTTTTACGGAGCCTGCTGGCTTCGCGTTTCAAGCTGGAGCTGTTTTAGTGGATTCACGGTTTAGAGTTATTCTTGGGTCGATCGGTTCCCGACGCTGGCGTCAGCCTCCCACCTTGTCTCTCTACATAAAGGATAGAGGAAGAAAAGTATTTTTTCCGAAGCTTCGTGTACATATTAAGGACAACAACAAATCGCCACACGGTAGGTTTCATTGATTTTTATTTCCATTTTCATGAAAATTTCCAGACCTAAACTTCACCCCATATGTTCTCTCTATTTAACCACGTGTACGTGACACAAACAGTGAGCCTGGTTTACCTGTGGTAATATCGCTATTGTGAGGGAGATGCAACAATTTCAGGACTGCAATCCTCAGAAACATGGAAGGTAAGAGCATATTATGTTATATAAGCAGTAGATTGGACGTAAAATGCGAAAAAATTGAGTTTGCGTGAGTATGTGTACATTTTCGACTAATTGACGACACCGTCGAATCGG